GCTCAGCTAACCACCCAAATACCAAAAGCAAAAGCCAGCGACAGTTGTCTCCCCTCCTCTGGTCTTGTAGTCCTCTTACACCAACTGCCCTCTTGAAAGTACTCAGAGGAGAACATTTATCTTGCACTTAACAGCCAGTAATAGACACGATGGTAAGGAAAGATTATCTCCTCTGTGGTCCCTGGATCTAGGGTTTCTGCTGAAGGCTAGGCTAAATCCCATGGTATTTCTCATAATATCATGTTGTTTTTGAACAAAGCTGGGACTCTCCCATGTTGGGCATGGCAGGCAGCATCCTTAGAAGCTCTTTGACCAAAGAAATGAATTTGTCTGAAGCCTGGAGATACGGGTCCAGTTTTTGAACCTCAGATGAAGAAGGAGGAACTGCAGATTTTTGCCTTGAAATGTAGTTGTGAATTCACCTCAGTTTTGATCCTGGTGGGCAATGCTGATGCTATAGGGCTTTGGAAGGCGAAAAGCAATTGCAGGAAAACAAAACCTTTTAAGAAAGGCTTTTTAGGGTGGAAGACTCTGTTGTTATAGGAAATACTAACGCCTTCAAGGAGCTATCTCATGCGCGTCTCCTGGAATGTACCTTCATACCTTGAACACCAGTTGGAAGTCAGTTTGTAATTTGTGAATAGTAATTTAAGGCTAATAGCGAGAAGTCTGTCTAAAATTCAGATCTGAACCCTCTCAAAGTGCAGGAAAACCTTGGATTTGAGGCTCTGAGTCATACTGGCTAGGCAAACCGATTTGCATAAAATAAGAAACACAGGACTTGATGCAAATCTTAAGTGAAGCTATATTTAAGGACTGTAAAATAGTTGATCTAACTTTCTTCTCTGATTATTTTTCTCCTCTGTTTTCATGTGTTTTTTCCAGACTTGGAAAATAGCAGGATTGGTAGATACTGAGCAAGCTTGCCTGAGTGTCAACCTCAGGAGTCGTGAGAGGGTTTCTTTGGGAGATTCAGAGATTAGTTTTGTAATAGGTCAGCGTCTTCAGGTAGCCAGTGTCTGATGTGCTGCCACCAGTTCAGGTAATTTCAAAAGTTTGTGTTGCTGAAGTTTCACTTGGGGATTTTGAGCTAGTGTAAACTGAGGAAAATTCATTGGCATCAATGGAATAATTATCCCTGTAGATAAAGTCAAGCCTGGAGCTCCACCTTGAGATGTGGATCTTCAAGCTTTGCAGAGAGCAGGAGAAGCCACTCAGTAAAAAAAATTAAATTTCTTTATTTTTCTTATTAGGATGCATTCAGCCAACTTTTGCATTTTAGTGATATTATTTTGGGGTTTTGATAATGTTTGGGTTTTTGAGACTACATCTCTCTTTTTTTTTTTCTCTCCTTCAGAGGTCAAATAGACCACATAAAATATGGAGTAGTATGAGTGCATCTGGCAGTTGAGATCTTGACCATCTATGAATACATGTATAATGATACCTTCCAAGCCATAACAGAAAACTGATTTTTACAACCTTCAGTTTCCATCATTTGTACACAACTAACCAAACCTTCCTGTATTGTAGGAAAGGGCAGAAAATCCCTAAAACTGGTTCCAATAGAAAGAGGGGAAAGCAAATAATTACATGGAAAATGAGGGTTAAAAAAAATGGTTCTGATTAGGTTTGGTTTGGGTTTTGGTAGGTCTATTGTAATTCAAAGGAAAATGTTGGGTTTGTAAGCTAAAAAAAAATATGAAAGCCAGAGATCTTCATGCATTTTCCCATGTCTCCTCTCGTCTTTTATTGATGGGAAATTTTACATGATCTTACAGTGGTCGTTGTAGAGTCCTGAGGTTTGCCACCAAGTGGTGGCAAGCTATATGGTACTTCTGCTTTAAAAGTGGAGGGCACCAAAGCAATGCCCTGAGTCAACGTTCTTGGATTTGGCAGGTTACATAAGCTTCTTGTGCTTAATTTACTCATCTGTTTTTTTTTTTTTAAAAAAAAGGCAAAAACTGAACAAAAAAATAGTTTTGTTTTGTGTGTCTTGGTGTGCAAAAATCACTTTGAAATTCATAGCAGCCCTATTCAAACTTAAAGCACTAATATATATAATGGTTTGGTATCTAAATTTCTTTGATTTGCTTTCAGTGCAGTATATTTTTGGTTTTAACACCATGCTGTGTACAGTATGACCTGCTTTTTTTTTCCCCACCTAGTACAGGGTTCAACCTGTCTCCGGAGCAAAAAGAGGATGGGAACTTCCAACTCTTTTCAGTCTACCTTGTGATTCTTCTTGAGGAGAGATGCAGAGAATCACTGCAAGGTCTTTGCATTCTCTTATGTGGTGCAAGGGTCTTGTACTGGTGGTCTGCAGCAGTGGGAGCTTTGCTTTTTAGGAAGTGTCTTCAGTATAGTCTTGATGCAGGAAAACACTGAAGCAGCTTTCTAACGCAGAGGGACGTTTTCCCATCACAGATTCCATTTCCTTGTGAATAGCCACTACAAGTACCATGTAAAATCCCGTCGTGACCGTTTTCTGTTCGGTTAGAGTTTTCCTGCTTGTTTGGGTCTTTATTCTCCTCCTGTTGTGAACTGCCTTTCCTTGTCTTGTACACTGAAG